CGACGCTGTCGCTGGAGACGGAGCTGCAGCGGGTGCGGGAGCTGGGCGGGCAGCAGCGCAAGCGGGCGGCCGAGGTGCTCAACGGGCTGATGAAGGACCTGAGCGAGTTCAGCCTCATCGTGGGCAACGGCGAGATCAAGCTGGTGAGGAGGGGGCACCCCTGCCAGGCTGCACCCATGGGTGCTCGCGGTGCCCGTGCCGTGCCATGCCATACCCATGTGTGTGCCGGTCCTGCACCGCGCCGTGCGGTACCCACGCTGTGCCGTGCCCATGCTGTACTCACAAGCGTGGCGTGCCGTGCCGTGCCATACCCACGTGTGTGCCGTGCCCATGCCACGCCATGCCCATGGTGTGCCGCGCATCCGCGGTGCCCGTGCCGTGTCATACCCATCTGTGTGCCATACCCGTGCTGTGCCGTGCTGATCTGTGTGCCGTGCCAACCCGCGTGCCGTGCCATACCCACCCTGTGCCATGCCTGTGCCATGCCGACCCGCGTGCCATTCCATACCCATACACGTGCCGTACCCATGCCATGCTGTATCCACGTGTGGTACGTGCCCACGTCACACTGCTCCGTGCCCGTGCCGTGCTATGCCCATGCCATGCCCGTGCCATACCCATGTGTGTGCCATACTCGTGCCACGCCGTACCAGACTATGCCGTGCTGTGCCCGTGCCCTTGCCGTGCCGACCCACATGCCGTGCCATACGCATGTGTCTGCCATACCCACACTGTGCCATGCCTGTGCCATGCTGACCCACGTGCCGTGCCATACCCATCTGTGGTACATGCCCATGCCACACCGCGCCCGTGCCACGCTGCGCCCGCGCCGTGCTGACCTGCGTGCTGTGCCATACCCATGTGTGGTACATGCCCGTGCCACGCCGTGCCCGTGCCGTGCTGACCCGCATGCCGTGCCTGTGCCCAGCCGGTGGAGGTGAGCGGGGCCATCGAGGAGGAGTTCACCGTCGCCCGGCTCTACATCAGCAAGATAAAGTCGGAGGTGAAGTCGGTGGTGAAGCGGTGCCGGCAGCTGGAGAACCTGCAAGTGGAGTGCCACCGCAAGATGGAGGTGACCGGGCGCGAGCTCTCCTCCTGCCAGCTCCTCATCTCCCAGGTGGGCTGGGGACAGGGACGGGTGGGGACAGACCCTGGGGCTGCCACCACTGGGCATCTTACGGGAGTGGTGCCACTGCCCCAGGATTTGGTGACCCCTGGGTTTAGTGGCCCTGGGGTTTGATGACCCCAGGGTTCGGTGACCCTGGGGTTTGGTGGCCTCATGGTTTGGTGGCCTCATGGTTTGTTGGCCCTGGGATTTTGTGATCCCAGGGTTTGGTGGCTCCAGGGTTTGGTGACCCCAGGGTTTTATGACCGCAGCATTTGGTGGCCCCATGGTTTGGTGGCCCTCCAGGGTTTGGTGGGCCCAGTGTTTGGTGACGCAAGCATTTGGTGGCCCCAGGGTTTGGTGGCCCCAGGGTTTGGTGGTCCCCCAGGGTTTGGTGGCCCCAGGGTTTGGTGACCCCAGGGTCCGGTGGTCCTGGGGATGGCCCGGGGTGGTGGCCGCGTGCCCCCAGCCGGGGGGGCGGTGGCTGACGCTGGTCCCGCAGCACGAGGCGAAGATCCGCTCGCTGACGGAGTACATGCAGACGGTGGAGCTGAAGAAGCGGCACCTGGAGGAGTCGTATGATGCCCTGAGCGAGGAGCTGGCCCGGCTGCAGGCCCAGGGTGCGGGGGGCCGGGGGCGCTCAGGGGGGCTCAGGGGCACGGAGGGGGCTCGGGAG